ACCCCCCCTTGAATCTACCGTCCATTCACCACTGTCAATTTAATCTTTTTTTTTCTTCTTTATTTCCTTGCCCTCCTTCGAACCCGATTCCTTTCTATGTTCACCCCCCCCCTCCCACCCCTTCCACAACTTTCTGTTCTTCGACAGTACTTCCCGGTCCAATGGTTTGTACTAATTGCTTTCCTTTGTGAAGATCCCTGACGAGATGGCGAGTTTTTTTCTGTCCTTCTTCTGAGTTTCTTTGTAGTCTTGTTGTCAGTTATAGTTTCATACCATGCCATGAGAATCACCATGTCGATGCTCTTCTTTGTATCTCAAAACTTTATAGGAATGCGTACATATTAGACATATGTTATGAAATAATTAATATATGTGAGGTGTGCTGACAAAATGAGTTACTTCTTTCGGATTTTGGCTGTATGGAAATTGATAAATCAACTTTATAGGTGGATTTTGCACAATTTGTAAGTATGGAATAATAAAAGACACGGCAGATTTGAACAACATGGCATCAACTGAAAATCTATACATTTGACCCCAGTGTTGGCTTTCAGCCGATATCTCCATTCTTTGATCGCGAGGAGTAACTCATTTTGTCAGCACAACTCACATGATATATATGTTGTAAAACATAGCACGGTTCCTGTCACTCGGATCTCAACTGGTCACTTTAAGCTATGACGCGTCACGATTAAAGTGCTGCGTCATCGTGTGAAAGGTGACGAAAAGACAGTGAAAAATACAACTATCATTAATACCGAAAGTCTTCTACGTGCGTTCGAGCACGAATCCAGTGCTCTATCTAAGAAGCAAAATAGAACACTAATAATATAACATTCATGAACATGATTGATCAAATAAAGCTTGCCAGCTTTTTCGAATTTGTCCGCAAGTGGGCGATATCACCAGCTTGTGGGCGATTTAGTAATTCTGGTGGGCGGTGGGGATCACCCGAGTAGTGGCAGGTATTATAATATACACCCGGGTATAGACATATTATTTAATTTTATTGTGTTATTTAATATGCTTGGAAATACGTGAAGGTGGTCGATATATAGCAAAAGAGGGTGCTGGTTATAAAAAAAGTTGGCTAGCGCTGAGCTTGAGGAAGGAAATAAAACTCAAGACGAATACACGAACATAATATCTAAATCAAAATCAACAAACGTTGCAGTAATTTTAACACGAGTAGAAGAATTGAAACTATGACAGTGGCAACCGTACAAAACTCCCCAAAACAAAACAACAAACAAATAAACATATGGC